AAGGCACTTAACAACAACAAAAACATTTTAGTTATAGGGAGTGTGCTGGTTCTGCAGGATAAATACTGGACTGCCAACCACATGATCGGGGGTTCGAGCTCACCAGTACCTCTGAGAAAGAAATATGAGACTTGAAGCTCTCACAAACATTTGCAGCTTATACAGGGTCTCTACGAGTCATAATCGACTTGAAAACACTTTAACAACAACAACATATTAATTATATAGATTTAATTTGAGACTTATCCATGTTGTACCTTAAATCAATAAACAGTTCATTCCTTTTTAGTATTAACTGCGTATCCCAAAGTTTTTAAAGTCACCTGTTGATGAATATTTTGTTTCTCTCTAGTTTTTGCTGATGAAAAAGATAGCTACAGTGAATATTTGTTCAAAAGTTTTGCATGGAAGTATGCTTTCCTATATCTTCAGTGTGCATCTAGCTACAGAATAGCTGAATTATATAGGAGACGATATTTAATGCTTTAAGAAATTCTCAAACTGGTCTCCAAAGTGTCCTTACAATATTACATTTCCATCAGCAATGTATGGAAGTTCCTGTTCCTCCATATCTTTGCCAACATTTGTTACAACAAGTATTTTTAAAAAATTTTAATCACTGAAATATCTGTACAGTAGAATTACATTGTGGTTTTAGGAATCAGAATTCACTCAACAGCAACCAACAACAATGGTAAATGAAAGTCTTTGGGTGGTACAAACCATTAATTGCTTAACTACTATCCAAAAGTTTAACAATTCAAACTCTGCCAGGGGCCCCTTGGAAGACAGACCAGGGCATCTGCTTCTGGAAGGTCACAGCCTTGAGAACGCTGTGGAGCAGTGCTACTCTGCACACATGGGGTGGGTTCCCATGAATGGGAATGGACTTCATGGCAATCAACAAAAACAACTATAAGAACAAGGCTGAAATATCTTTTCATAGGCATATTTTTCATCCACATATTTAAAATAGGTCCTGTGTTTTCTTTTTATTGAATTTAGAGACCTTTTTATTTATTCTGGGTAAAAAATTCATTAACAGATGTATACATTACAAGTATCTGCCCCCACAAACAGGCCTCTTTTATGTTTTGCTTTTTAAAAACACTCTTAGCATTGTCATTGTCCTTTGAGAAGCAGTTTGGAATTTTGTTGAAGTACAATTTATTGATTTTTTTTTTAATCTAATGGATGATGCTTTTAGAGTTGCATCTAAAAAAACACTTGCCTAATCGAAGGCCAAAAAAAATGGTTTTCCTAACATTTATGTATTTGAGTTTCAGTTGTTTATTGCTAGTATATAAAACATAATTATTATTATCATATTGACCTTATATCTTGTGACCTTGCTAAGCTCACATATTAGTTCTAAAGGAGGAAAAGAAACAAGAAACTAGAGAGGAAGTGGAATAAGTGATATTAAACTAAGGGGATTGCAATCAATGAGATGTAATGAAGTGCTTCTGATATGTTGAGTATGAAACTGATGATCTACCTTCACTCAATTCACAATATAAAGTTATTTTTTAAAAAAACAAAAAAAAAATGTTTTTTTTTAGGTTCTTTGGGGTTTTCTATAAAGATAATGATATCATTTGCAAATGGAAACAATTTTGATCTTTCTTTTTAATCTTTATGCTGTTTGTTTCTGTGTCTTTTCATATTGTGCTTGTAAAGACTTCTAGTATGATGTTGAGTTAGAATGGACATCCCTGACTTGTCCTGGATCTCAACACAAACACATTCAGCTTTTTGTTTATTAAGTATGACTTTGCTGAATGTAATTTTTTACATGACCTTTACCAGTAGACAACAGCCCCTCACTATTACTACTTGGCTGAAAGATTTTATAATGAACAGATTTAAAATGTAGTTTAAATGCTTTTTCATCATCTATTGAGATGATCATGTTTGGATTTTTTTTCCTTTTCTTCTTCTCTAGTCTGTTTATTTAGTGAACTATAGTAACTGATTTTAAAACGATAAGCCAGCCTTATATTCCTGGAATAAATCACACACATCTCTATTGTACTATGATCCATAATTTGTTGCTGTTGTTTTCTTGTTTTCAGGCATGACGAGTTAATTTAAAATATTTTTAAGTTGTTATTATTCACACATTTGAATAACAGAAAGGTTCCAGGGGCTTCTTACCTTGACAAAGAAATGACTGAAGCTCAAAAACTGGAAAATGTTTTCTTACAGTCAAATTTGAATGATGTGGAAGGAACAAAATGTCCCATTTAAATGATAAGGCTAGTCAACTTCCAGATATATTATCAGTTAGTAGACTCAATTGATAAAACATCAGCAAAACATCTGTTGCATCAATCTAATTCAATATTGGCCTGGACTTGAACCAGAATTCAGAACCAGTCTTAGATATATATTATTGTATATGGGATTATTTTAAAATCAACTATAGGGAGGTG